TGTTCATCTTGTCTACCAGCTAGTTTCAGCAGAGGCTAGTTTCTAAGCTTCAGCCAAGATACTTTGAGATTTTTTCCTTCCACTCAGCACCAAACATTTATGTTATCACTGTCAGGAAGAGGATATTACAAAGACTAGAGTCCTCATCAGCATCATCAGGTTATTTATTAGGAAATAATTTCCAGTCAAGGGTTCCACTAGGGGAGACCAGAGACTTCTGATCCTGCTGCCATGTAAGCACTCAGGTCTCAAAGCAAAGCTGTCACTGAAAAGTTAATGTGCCCTTGGGCCTACTGAAGCCCAATCTAGGCAACTTAGTGTTTTGGTGCTGTGAACAAACACTATGACCAAGGCAACTCTTTTTGTGTCTGTATGTGTGCGTGTGTGTGTGTGCGTGTGCATGCGCTTGTGTGTGTCTAACTTCTGTTTTATTGGATATTTTCTTTATTTACATTTCAAATGTTATCCCCTTTCCTGATTCCCCCCAATCCCCACCCTATCTCCCCTCCCCTGCTTCTATGAAGGTGTTCCCCTATGCACCTATCCACTCCTGCCTCCCCACCCTCAAATTCCCCTACACTGGGGCATCAAGCCTTCACAGGTCCAAGGGCCTCTCTTCTCATTGATGCCCGGACAAGGCCATCCTCTGCTACATATGTGACCTGCACCATGGGTCCCTCCATGTGTACTCCTTGGTTGGTGGTTTAGTCCCTGGGAGTTCTCGGGAGTCTGGTTGGTGAATATTGTTCTTCCTATGGGGTTGCAAACCCCTTCAGCTTCTTCAGTCCTTTCTCTAATGCCTCCATTGGAGTACTCCAACCATTGGAGACCCAGTGCTCAGTCCAATGGTTGGCTGAAAGCATCCCTCTGTATTTGTCAGGCTCTGGCAGAGCCTCTCAGGAAACAGCTATATCAGGGCCTGTCAGCATGCACTTCTTGGCATCCACAATAGTTCCTGGGTTTGGTGACTGTATGGATGGATCTCCAAGTGGGACAGTCTTTGGATGGCCTTTTCTTCAGTCTCTGCTCAACACATTGTCTATATATTTGGTGCCTAGAGTATTTTGTTCCTCTTTCTAAGAAGGATGGAGGCACTTGCACTTTAGTCTTCCTTCTTCTTAAGCTTCATGTGGCTGTGAATTGTATCTTGGGCATTCTGAGCATTTGGGCTAATATCCACTTATCGGTGAGTGCATAAGGCCAATATTTAATTGGGGCTAGCTTACAGGTTCAGAGATTAAGTCCATTATCATCAAAGTGGGGGCTTGACAACACCCAGTCAGGCATGGCACAAGAGGAGCTTTGAGTTCAACATACTGTTTGCAAGGCAAACAGAAGACTTGCTTCCAACCAGACAGGAGGAGGGTCTGAAAGCCCATGCCCACAGTGACATACTTCTTCCAACCAGGCCACATCTAGTAGCAGCACTCCCTGGGCCAAGCATGTTCAAACCACCATGGAGTCGGAGATTAACTTGAATAGGCTATGGCTCAGTTAATGACCAAAAAACCTTTAAAACTAATAGAGGAATCATTCCGTGATTAATGGAGCCTAACAAGTAAGTATGATATGGGAAAGAAAGACAAGAAGTCTGATACAGCAACTGTTACTGAAGAGTTTGCACGTTCAAAATTGAGCCATTTGATGAGACCGTAAGATTCTTCACATTGGGGGAAGCAGACTTTGCAAAAATAACACAGCAGTCATTAGAAAAATTATACACACACACATTCAGAGAGAGAGAGAGATTGAGAGAGAGATTGAGAGACAGACAGAGAGAGAGAGAGAGAGAGAGAGAGAGAGAGAGAGATCCCTAGGACATTTCATGGTCCAGTTATACATGACTAGGGACCAAAGAAAAGAGACTGTTGGCCCACCAACACTGGACCTATTTTGTAGAACTTGTGTCTCTGTATCATGTGAAGTACCAGTGACTGTTTCATGCACAACTGTAAAGCTTGATGTCTCTGATCCTTTCTAGTCCTAGCCTCACTGTTTTAACTCTAACATTCTCTTTTAACTTCAACATTCATTCCACACCATAATCTCTATAAGCAGCTTGTGGTTTTCACCACAGTTGTTCATGTTCCCTTTCTTCCTTAAGGAACATATCCCCTTCATCAGTGGCATATTTTCGGGTTAAAGTTAGTACCCAGAGTTGCTATTTTTGATTTCTGATTATGCCTATAAAATATAAAAGAAAGCAAGAGCATGCACACATAAAAAGGGCACACAACAGGAACCACCATGACAGGTACTCAAATTTGTATTTACAAAGATTTCAGAGTAGTTGTAAATGTGTTTAAGAAACTAAAGGAAATCATCAATAAAGACTTCAATCCAGATTTCAGCAACAATGTTACGTCCACCTGGAAATATCAGTTTAAAAATAAGGAGAAAGAATCCATGTAGAAATGCTATATTATAAATAAGTAATAATAGGTATAAAAACTTAGTATTCAACAGTAGATTTAACCTGGAGAGGAAAGATCTCTCAAATGTGCAGTTGGATTAAAGGAGACTGTACAGTCTGGGAGGAAGAGAAAGGAGATGTGAGGGCAAGAGGCACAACTGAGAGCAAAGTCTGGAGCAGTGCACATGGAATGTGCAGGATGAGCACCCTCTGGAGAAAGCTAGAGTCAGGCAGACAAATGTCAGCAAAACTCAAATGGACAATGGGCCTTAACCGGTAACTAAGAACTGTGATTGTGGAAATACAAATTTTCTGTCTTTCCCTGGTATTTATTGCTAGGCAGAGTATCTCTTAGCCTACTCCCCCAACCCTTGGGGTAGCTTGTTAGTAACAATGCTAATTATTCAGATATCAACAAAAGAAACTGCTACTTTTAAAAGATAAAAGAGGTAAAATTTTTCTGCGAAGTAAAATATATTCAGATAATTAGCCTGTGATGAAAGTCATCTTGAAAGGTGGGTGTGTAAAAGATCAAGCCAGCAATTCTAGTGCTGGAGAGGTAGAGACAGGAAGATTCTGAACTGGAGGCCTACCTACGCTACATAACAACAATGAGAAAAAATACACTCAAGAAAGAAACAAACTAATAAAAAAAAACAAAAACATAAAGAAAAGTCAAAATTTTTTCTGATAATATAGCAATAAAGATTACTTACATCATGACAGAAAATAGCCTTTAAATTTTCTTTTCTATAAAATACCTACTTTTATATATTTTTCAAAAATAATTAGAACTGCAGATCTAATTATAACTTACTTCTCTAACGAGTCTGTCTTCAAATATACTCTGATGTATGGAGGATGGAAACTTTAAATTCTGAGTTAGGGGAAAGACAAAATCAAGAATCTGTTATCTGTCATCTTCAATTGTATTTATCTACCCACCCATTATATATATTATCTCTCTACATATCATCTAGTCTTCAAATTTTAAACCCTGAAATGTTATAAAATTAAGGATGTCTAAAAATGTGTGTGTGTGTGTGTGTATGCACACGCACGCACACGCGTGTGTGTCCATTTTGCTCTGTGGAGTGCAGACTTTTCAGTTCCCACATTTCAGGATTATTGCAGCTTTTTAAAATTTAATGTTCCTAGTGTTAGCTAACCCATAGTCATCAATACTTTCTAGTTTCTTTACTTTTACATAAATTATTCATTTAGATTAAACAAAGGGGGAAATACACTGAATTTAAAATATAACTTTAAATATATATCATGTAAGCAAATTTTATATATGACTGAAAAAGCCTATTTTCATTTAGACACAGTTCTAAATATTCTCTATGCTGAAGGTATAATCTGTGCAGATGATAAACAAGTGAATGATGTAAGATAAAACTGGAACAAAGTCATGGTTTTAAGAATGTATTTTGTTTCATTAGAAAAGCTACATGTGGAAGCAATGGTCAGAGTAATTTCCTATCTTAGTAGATGTTGAGTTTACTATGAACTATCATCCCCTTATACATTCATTGTGTGACATAATTTGACTTAAAAGTGGGGAATTCAGCAGTGATTAGACCATGATTTATCACATTCAGACTGTAGCATGAGCATATAGGTTCCTATAGAATATGTAGGATCCTGTGTGGTTTATTATTGAATTATACCATGAGAGAACCAGCCTCCTTGAGAATAAATCATAACTTTTCAGCTTACAGATTTGATAGCCTTGAGCAACTTTACTGTCTTATTAGGGTTTCTATTGCTGTGAAGAGACATCAAGACTACAGCAATTCTTATAAAAGAAAACATTTAGTTGGGGCTGGTTTATAGTTCTGAGGTTAATCCATTATTGTCGTGATAGGAAGCATGGTGGCATGCAGGCAGCCATGGTGCTAAAGAGGTAGCTGAGAGTTCTGCATATGGATCCAGCAGGAAGGGACACTGAATCACTAAGCCTGGCTTGATCACTTGAAATCTCAACACTCCTCCCCAAGTAAAACACTGCTTCCAACAAGGCCAACACCTATTCCTATAAGACCACACCTCCAATAATGGCACTCACTGTGTCTATGAGGGGTCGTTTTCATTCAAATCGACACATTTCATTAAATTCCTTTTCATTTTTTTCTTTCAAATTATTCATCTATGTTATAGAAAAAATACCATTCAGTCACTCATACAAAAATCTGAGATCAATGACTGGTGAAATGAAAGCACCTACTTCTGTGAGTTTTAACAAGGGAAGAAAGCCAAGCTCCATAAGGAAACACTTGACTCTTGTGTAACAAAACACTATCACCAAAAGCAAATTCAGGAAGAAAGAGCTTATTTGGCTTATACTTTCATATTGCTGTCTATCACTGAAGGAATCAAAGACAAGAACTTAGGTAGAACATGGATAGAACCTGGAGGCAGGAGCTGATGTAGAGTCCATGGAGAAGTGTTGCTTACTGACTTGCTACCCCTAGTTTGCTGATCTTGCTTTCTTATATAAAACAGACCCACTAGCCCAGGTATGGTATCACCCACAGCAGGATGAACCCTCCCTTATCAACCACAAATTTTAAAAAACTGCCTTACCCCTTTAAATGGGCAAAGAGACACCTTGTTGGTGGAGTTGTTCTTATATCAGTCAAGGGCAGCAGAGATTGCAGTCCTTTGTTCATTCTAGCTTGATGCCTGGCTTAGTGGCCAAAGCTGTCTTATACCTAGGACTCATAAAAATCACATCAAATCCAATCCAGGCAGGAAAGTCTTGCAGGGGAAAGACACACATTGCCCTGTGTACCACCATGTCTCCACAGACCTGCCCTCTAACATACAGCTCAAGTGGGCCATAGACACCATTTTACCAAGCAGCATGGATGGAGGATATCAACCATGGAACCACCAGCCCTGTGCCCACCCTGCAGCAAGAGCCACAACAGTTAAACTTATGTGATAGTCAGATGGGACAGAAAGAGAAGTGGAACAGCTTGAGCATTATGAAGAGAGATGGAATTGGAGACTCATTGTGAGTGGCCACCCCTGCCACCTGGGGCCATGGTGAAGTTCCATGTCACTAAGGGCTGTGTCTGGATCCATGGCTATGCAATGGCAGTGTTCGGTATCAATGTCTGTGGCTCATATTACCACTAGAGAATGTGGGGACTCCTTGGTCAGAGCAGCCACTAGAGACCACATAGGTATACAGGGGCTGGTCATGGTTGACCCAACTCTTACTGGATATGGCACTCTGGAGAGCTGGCCCCATTACTCACCGTTAGTAGCACTCAGGACAGCTGGCCCTGTACCTAGCCCAGGCAGCACAGCAGAGCTGGCACTTGTAATGTGAGCAGGCCCCCAAAGGCATGAGTGTGAGAGAGCCAATCTTGCCACTTGTATACCATGGGATGACATGAATGCAGAGATAAGCTCTCTCTCTCTCTCTCTCTCTCTCTCTCTCTCTCTCTCTCCCTTCACAAGAACACCTGTTCTATTTGCTCCCCAGTTGTATCTTCTCACATTTTCCCTTGAGTGAGTTTTGACATTTGTAATACTATTTCCCTTTCTCTGTATGTATGATTTTATCATTTAGGCATGAATTTTCAAAGAATAGGATGTTTGATTTTGCCTGTTTTTGAAATTCATATCAATAGAATCCAACCATAAGTACCCTTCTGTAGCTTGCTTATTTTGCCCAGGATTACACATCTATGAAGGATCTGTGCGATACCCATGGCTTTTCCTCCAATCCTATCATTGCTTTATAACATTGCATTCTATTGTATGCTACAATGTATCTAATCTGCAGCTAATGGAAATTTAAATTGTTTCTAGCTTTTCACTGCTACAAAAACTGTTGTTTCCTTCATTTTAAACCAGGTATCCCAGTTCACAAAACTAAGGATTTCTTTAACATACACATGCCAGAATAAAATGTCAAGAATTAAGAAACACAAATGTTACAACTCTTTTATAAAAATGGGTTTGCTAAAAATATAATTGCTTTTGTTTAAATATCTGATCCCCCCATCAAATTCATGTTGACATCTACTCTTGTAGTATTAAGGAATGGGCAGTTGAATAGGTCATGATGTCATTAGGCTCGCTGGTATGAATGGCTGAATACTGTTTATGTGAGAGTGGGTTCCTCATTGATATTAATGGTTCCCATATAAACAGGAGGTTGAGGTTGATCACTTTTGTGTCTGCCTCTGACACCATGCTTCTTTGTCCTTCTGCCATGGGGTGGGGGACCATGAAGGCCTTCTGCAGAATTTTTAACTTGACTGTCAGTTTCATTGGATCTAGAATTTTGGACCAACATATTCTGATTCAGTGTCAGCTAGTTTGTTACAGCAGAAAAATCAACTTGACAGGTTCAATTCCCATATTCTAGTGCTTTTAAAAATATAAGACTGTAGGTACAATTAGCTTGGATTAGGGCTATTGAGATAGATGAGATAGATGATAGATGATCAGTAATGACTATATCTGAAAAAGTATTTCCCAGGTGACAGGCATGTCACTCGGAATGGACTAGGAGGATACCACTCAACTGACTTATGTCTTGAATAGAATTGTAAAGGGGATGAAGCAAACTGTCTCTTTTGGGCCTGGGATACCTTTCTCGTGCCTTTGGATATTGGAACTTTCAGGTCTCTGGACCTTAAACTCCACCCCAGTGACTATGAGTTCTTAAGCTTCTGTATCATGTTAAGAGTTGTATCTTTAGATTCACAGGTTCTGAGCCTTTCAAATATGGACAGAACTGCCTTTAACAATCACAGGATCTCTATCTTGCAGATAGCTTTCATGGGATTCTATAGTCCCATGAACTGATTAACTCCTCACATGTATGTATGTATGTATGTATGTATGTATGTATGATCTATCTATCATTTATCGTTCTATCTCTTTATCTATTTATCTATCATTGTTGTCATTGTCATCATCATCTTTAACACAGACTGTTTTTCCTCTGAAAAATCTCAATAAAATATCTTAACATTTAAAGTTATGTTGCAGTTTTCATTTCTATTTTTCTGATTCCCTATGACTGTGAGTGTATTTTCATATATCTCTTAGTTATCCAAACTGTATATTTTCTGCAGCAGCTATTGAAATCTTCTTCTCACCTTTAATTAGATATTTTGAGATGTTATGGTTAAATTTATGTGTTAATTTACACTTTCGGATAAGCAGATTGCTTTTAGTTTTATGATGTTTTTGGCATACTTCGATGCAGATTTATTGTAATTAATTATACCACTTACTGTGGAGGGTTAGAGCCATGGTCAGTGAAACCCAGATTAGTGTAGACAAGAAAAAATTGATTGAGATAGAACAAGTACCTGAATAAAACTCAGACATGAAATTGATGTGAGGATATTTGGACTGGTATTTTGCATGCCAAGGGCTCTAATAGAAAAAGTGTTCGGGGTGCAAGGACATACAGGTAAGATAAGCAGAATGGTGGAATTTTGTAGACTGACTCGGAGAATGTAGTAAGAAATAAAAACAAAGAAAAATGAAAAATTATTTACTTCCTTTTAACCCAACAGTAGATTCTAAAATGCAAATCTAAGAGGCTGAGGAGACATGAAAGATATTTAGCTATAAATATCACCTCATGCCTTACCATGTATAAGATTGACATAATTAGTATTTACAGAATACTTAATCACAGCCAAGTATACACAATTCCAATCTTCAGGCACACTTTGTATATTTTCAAAATATACAAAATTGTGGGCCATAAAAGACATTCTACCAAATTCTAAAAAATATGGAAATCATAGAAAGTATTGTTTTTACCTTTCAATTAAATGAAGCTAAAAATCAAAAACATGATAGTAATAACAGAAAAATAGTTAAAATTTCCAAAGACAATTTAAAAATATATAAATACCTCTAGATAACAGGAGTCAAAGTATATGTGACGTGAGGCTCCACTCTTCTTTGAAGATTTTCTAGGCAATTAATAGAGGCTGGAAGAAGTAGTGTCTCTTTCTTCAATGTTAAAGTCATGCTTAAGTAGTACGTGGTCTGGTGAACGATGTCTCACTTATGTTTATATAAACACATATAATTATACTCAGTGGGTAAAATATAATGATGTTGACAGAGGAGGAGCCTGCTGAAAGAAAGTCTTCTGCAGTTGAGAAAAGGGATAAAGGCAGGTATTGAGAGTGAAAAATCAATATACATAGGAATGAAATCATAAAATAATATGAAAAATTTCAAGAATAAATTAAATAATAAGAAATGAAAAATATAATGGACTATAATTTTTGGAGAAATCAGACTTAGAAAGAAACTTATAGTATTAAATAAAGATATTCAAAATGAAAGGCCTAAAGTCAATAATCTCAACATTTATACTAAGAAATGAGAGTAACTTAAACTAAGGATAAAAGAATAATTAATATAAAGTAGAAGTCACTGAATCCAAACAAGAAACCAATTCAGCAAATTCGTAACTAACACAGGTAGTATACAAAATAAATGAAGTTGACAAGTTCAGATTAATTAGGCAAAAGTAGAAAAGGCACAAAAATTTGTAATTAGAAATGAAAGTGAGGTTAACATTGTTGGTCCTATGAATATTAAAAGGATAAAAAAGGAAGACCATGAGACACTCTATTCCTACAAACAAGATAGTGTGGACTAAAATAATCAGTTTTGCACAAATAATTTTCTAAAATTTGTTAGAATAGATGGATGGAAGAGAACTCAGGGTCCTGAGATAATTCCGTTTACATATGCAAAACCAAGCAAAGGTGATTCAGTGGACATCCCTTTTACTAGTGATGATATGAATGCAAATACATACACACAAGAGAGACTTTCAACAAATTAATTGAAAATGTACCATAGACCGATATAAAAATGAAAGCACCTATAACACTAGAAAAACATATATAAGAGAATATGTCTCTGTATTTCTGTATTTAATCACAAAGTAAAAAGGTATTCTAACATAGGAAGCCAAGAAAGGTTGCATTTAATTCATATTGGAAATATATGGACCTGTGAGTCACATTGCTACAAAATTGAAAAGATAAGAAATATGTGAGGCAAGTATTCTTTAACTCTTAGATAATAAACAATGTGATCCAAGACCTATGCAAAAATCCTAGAAACAAGAAAAAGACAAACCATCTAAAAAAAGAGAATAATATTGGTGCAGAACAGACAGCCACCAGCAAATATCAGCACCTGTGTAAAGCTCAACACCCTGCATCATTAAGAAGTTGCAAAGGCAGTGCCCCTGAGATCATGCCACAGGGCTGTGTGTGAACTGCCAACAGCACCAGGCACACTGGTGCAGATGTAGCATTACAGCAGGCCACTCACTATTGGAGGTACTCCAACATCCTGAAGCCACTCCTGATAAAAGCCTGGCACGGTTTTTAAAAATCAAAACAGCATAGTTTTATTAGCTGGCAATCAAACTATGAAGCGTTTAATCAAATGTTAGAAATTTAGATCCACACTACAAGTTTTGTACAGATGTTTATGGTTGCTTCATTTATAACTGCAAAACCTGGCAGCTATTAAGATATCCTTTAATAGCTGAATGGATGTACCAGCTGCAGTATATGCCCATGGCAGAATATTATTTAGTAATAGAATGAAATGGCAAACTACAGAAATCTCTGATGAAAACTTAATGCATATCACTAGAGGATAGGAGGCAGTCTTAGATGGCTGAGTACTCTATGATCCCAAATATG